TGGAGACCTGCGCAAACATATCAGAACCCACACAGGAGAAAAGCCCTTCGAGTGCTCTCTGTGCAACTTAAAATGTAGTCAAAGTTCACAATTGCGACTTCATCTGCGAACCCACACAGGAGAAAAGCCATATCAATGCAATGTCTGCAGCAAGAGTTTTTCCACTAGAACACATCTCCGAGTACATGAACGTACCCACACTGGAGAGAAGCTTTATGCTTGTACATTGTGCGACAAGAAATTCTCGGAACGGTATGGTCTGAAATCGCACAACCTTCGTATGCACACAGGGCAGAGGCAGAGAACATTCGAGTGTGACTTGTGCAACAAAAAGTTTCTAGACAGAAGCTCGCTGAGCAGCCACAGCCGTTTCCACACAGTAGAAAAGTCCTTTGAATGCACGCTCTGCGACAAGAAGTTTGTGTCCGGTCAAGGTCTGCAAGTGCACCTCCGCGGCCACACGGGAGAGAAGCCTTTTGAGTGCGCGTTGTGTGACAAGAAGTTTGCGCAAGATAACCATCTGCGTTCTCACCTCCGCACCCACACTGGAGAACAGCATTATAAACATGAATGCTCTGTATGCAACAGGAAATTTCCTGGCCGTAGTCAACTTGGCGAGCACATCCGCAGCCACACAGGAGAGAAGCCCTATGAATGTGACGTGTGCCGCAAGACATTTACTTACAAAAGTTCCCTGGTCAGCCACGGCCGGACCCACACCGGAGAGAAGCCTTACGGGTGTAACGAGTGCGACTACAGGAGCGCCACGAGTGGAGGTCTCCAGACACACCTCCGCACCCACACCGGAGAGAGGCCCTTCGGGTGCCCGGTGTGCGACAAGAAATTCACGACGGGTTCAATTCTGCGCAAACATCTCGAAACCCACACAGAGGACAAGATCTGTGTGCAACAAAAATCGTAGTGACACTGGGAATTTGCTCATTCATCTGCGAACCCACACAGGAGAAAAGCCATTTCAATGTGATGTCTGCAGCTAGAGTTTTCCCAGTGGGGCACTTCTCCGAATACATGGACGTTCTCACACTGGAGAGAAGCCTTATGCGTGTACGTTGTGCGACAAGAAATTCTCGGTTGCCTAGCAGTCTGGGAACGCACAACCTTCATATGCACACGCGACAGAGACTTTACATGTGTGACTTGTGCAACAAGAAGTTTTCAGAAGGTCATCATCTGCGCGCACAACGCCTAACCCACGAGTGTACGTCAATTGCGGACATACCAGGGTTGGCATAGAGAATTAAATTCAATTTTATTAAATCGCATTTTGCTGTGCAAATTTCTTTTGGTGTAAAACATTTAGCCCCAGTGCGAAATTCATTTTGTGCTTTTCATTTTGCACCCAAAGGGCAAAAAGGTCTCAAATTAATTCTGCACTGTGCAATATTCCAATAAAGCTCATTTTTGCCCTCGAGGTGAGGGTTTTATTTTCGCACAGTGCGCAACATTTCGCACAATAAAATCCATTTGTCGAAAAAAAAAAAGCTTTAGCGTATACTCATCTTTCCCCTTATACTCATCACAAAATAATGCGTACCTCGAAACCGATGCTCCGAAACGCGTCGCAACTTGCCAAAATACTCGCCTTCTCTGACCTGGATCGGGAACAAATCCATGCTTTCCCCATACCACATCTGGGGCAAATCAATAGTCGAGGCTGGAGCAGCTCAAAGAAAGAATGAAACCTGAAATCAACGCGCTTGCGCGGTGTGGAACATCCGACCGCTGGGCGACTGTCCGAGACTTTACCCACTGGGCCAGAGCGGATCGCTGGAGGCAACGGGCAGCGCGCCGGTGTCGTCCGCTTGCCAGTCGCCGCTGGCCACCGCTTGCTGCTGCCGCCTGCCGGATGAAATAGGCGAGCGAACGACACCGCCGCGCTGCCGCTCAAGGCAAGCTGTAGGGTAGGGGGCAGATTTATCCTGTGATAAACTTGCCCCCAGCTTTAATGTAAGCTACAGGGGGCATGTTCATCCCGTGATAAACCTGTCCCCTGCCCTGAGACAGACTGTAGTGGGGCACATTCATCCCGGGATAAACATGCCCCCTGCCTCACGGCAAGCTACAGGGGGCAGGTTCATCCCACGCCAATCCGCCGCAGCCCCCTCTTCACCAGCGCATCAGAGGGGAAGGTGATTACCCCCCCCCCCCACAAGTTTCTGCCAATCCGAGATCGCCTTTGCCATCGGGTCACTTCGGGTCACGGAACAGAAGCAGTCGGCCCACGCCTCACCTGAGCGTGGGAAGCGGCTCAGCCAATTAGAATTAGACGATCGCCAACACGCCTGATTAGTGCTGCTATCTGCTGGAGGTGACAGTTTCGGCGCCGAATCGACGCTTTAGTCGAAAATTGGCATCACAGCCAGTGAGAGTTCATACGAGCCCGCACGAGCCGGCGCCGCCGGGGCTATCACGGACTCCCGAATATTTGCAACGGGAACGGGCTGGCCTGGGCTCTCGCCCCAAAACTTGTGCGCTGCCGCGGTCTCTTTTGAGGTTGTCCAGTTTAGTGCGGATCCGCACGGATTCCGCGGAACTTGCGTCCGCACGGATCCGCATAGCGGGAGAGGAGGGGAGGGCTTCAAATAAACGTTTTTCTACTCAGTAACACTACAGAAATAGGTTGGCAGACACATATTTTTGATAAGAGGGCAGCAATGATCAATATGCTGTGAAAATATCGCGTCAGTAATACGAAGGTGAGGTTAGCGACCGCCATTGCGGCCGCTCGGCGCGCCGCCGGCCGGGCGGAGCGTGTGCTAAACTAAAATTGGTTTCTTGGATACTTAACTCCAGCAAAGTACATCGACCCTTACATCAAAATGAAGGTGACAGTTTAAGGATTACAACGGTATAATCCTTTTTGAAATTAAAGGCCTTGTACACGATCAAAGCCCCATCGCAAAATAGGCTGTTTTCCGAGATCACAATAGCTTTTTCAACGCCTATTTTCTCATGCTAGGAGGCGAGTTATCAATCTACATGAAGCGAGCCGATTTTCCGCCAGACCTTAAACTTTACATTGCTTTTTACCGCACTTTGATACGACTTCTAGTTTTCGAGAACGAAGCTCATATGTACACGCATGTCGGCCCGGGGCTGGACGCTATGGGCCGCGCGCCCGGCTCGACATGCATGTACAAATGACAGAATATTGATCATTTCTGCCCTCTTATCAAAAATATGTGTATGCCAACTTATTTCTGTAGTGTTACTAAGTAGAAAAACGTTTATTTCAAGCCCTCCCCTCCTCTCCCGATATGCGGATCCGTGCGGACGCAAGTTCCGCGGAATCCGTGCGGATCCGCGCCGGATCCGCACTAAACTGGACAACCTCTTTGGCGTTCGGGCAAAAGCGCCTGTGTGGTAGGCACGCCCGCCGCGCCCCGCTGCCCGTAGGTGAGGCCTACCCCACCGCCACCAGGCGCTCCTCTCAGCGACCACCTCGCTCGAGGCGCTGGGCGAGGCATTCGCAGCAGACCAAGCTGGTCACAGGGGTGCCACGCATCCGGTTAGTCAGGGAAACGGGACGGAAATTGAACGTAGGTCAGGAAAAATGGCTGAATCTTGCTTCAAATTGTTGTTTTCGAGATTTCGGTGATGGCATTTTTTCGTGATCGTGTTACGAACGATGTGTGTTGGTACTATGACAGCACCGAGGGGTGCCCAACTCCATAAAAATGTGTACACCGGATTACCAAATTGTAAAGATTACCAAGGATTACCAATGATTACCAAAGATTACCAATGAAAGTATGATTCGCATGCATTCAAAATCGAAACAATAACTCTTTGTCCAGAGAAAGATGCATTTTTGTGCACATTTTATGGAATTCGTAATTCTTTATCTTGCAAGTTACAAACTTGCATTCTATGATTGGACAAATTATGTTTTTGTCCATGAGAGGGTTGCAAATACGCCATAATAAACATGGGCGTTTGCATTTAGACAAGATGTGCACAAAAATGCATGGCTCAATCAACAAAATTGTCCCTTCAAGAGTGTGTAGATTACCAGTGATTACCAACTCTGTGTACACCTGATTACCACAGTTGGGCACCCCTCGGACAGCACAGACATCCTTCATATTATGAACACGGGCTTAATAATATGAAGGGGAGAAGACAATTCGTTCGTAAGATTTTAAGAGTGTCCATCGGAACCGTCCCGCCTGTCACCGGCTACGCCCAACCGAACGACTTCTCTCTCCAAACCTATCGATACAAATCGTTGGCTTTGTAAATCGACAAAAATGAAAATGGGGAAGACGGATACCGACCGCATTATGATTAATTTAGTAGTACGGATGCAAACAAGATCATAATGCAGTCAAGAGTAAGATTTATTGTAAACGATTCCAGCTTAACACACTTCAGGAAAATCTTAAGACAGAATGTAATTACTTAAGAACATTATGACATGTCTTGTGCGACGTGAATTTTCAGTTGACCCGTAGTGCGGGGGGCGGGGTTAAGCATTTACCACACAACAGAGGTCGTACAACACTCGTCGCAAACCACCTCAACGAACGCGGGCATGGAGGCGCGGACGTTCTGCCGCTGCATCACGCAGCCAGCGATATTCGTGCACAGATCATTATTTTGACGAACGAGAACGAGCCGGCGGAGGTGGAGCAGGCCGCATGCAGACAGCTCACGGCCAAGGTCTGGGAAATAGAAGCAGCCATCCTCCTCGTCATCATCGATGGTACAATACACCTGCAGCTCCTGTAGTGAGGAGGCGTGGGCGCGGATCAGGGACAGCATGGTGGGCTTATGGTAATTGTTGACGGCCACGCGCAGCCAGCGCAGTGTTGCATACTCCGAGTGGGGAAAGGTGAGGTTTTCACCCATGTAATTCCAAATGCTTAAACTATGCAGGGCGGGCATGCGCATCACACAGTCCACCTGTTGCTCGCTTGGTGAATTTATAGCCAGCTCTTCCAGCTGCAACGGCAGGTCCGGGTAGTCATCACATTCCGGAATGCATTTGACTTCCAGTCTTTTGAGTGACGACATTTTCTGTACTTCATACATGACCTTCGGATCTACTTTACCCAAAAACCCGAGCTCCTCGACGTGCAGCGGGTGCGACGCCACGACGCGCAGCAGCTTGTCGGAGCCCTCGCCCTTCAAGTCTTTAATACAGCGTATATTATCTATCCGCCCTTTGTCTCGAATAATTTCATTCACATTCAAATCGCCTCCCGTGAGATCAGTGAGGTTTATGGTGAGGATGCTAATCATTGGCGGTCCCACATACGCGCATGCGGAGGGAACAGGAGTGCTGTCAACCTGGAGGCAAAGACGGCAACTAAGAACCGCACCCAAATCAACAAAATTAGCCGTTCTAATATTTGAGGCTTACCTTTGCTAGCTGGCCGTCTGCCAGAAGCTGCAGTAACAAGAGACGCAAGAAGTCGTCGGATTCGCCGAGCTGCATGGTGGCCTTCCAGCTGGAACCACTCTCTCCTACGACGACGCTGCACTTGTTCGCGGTGAGCAGGCAGAGGCTGTCCTCCAGCTGCACCGCCAGCTTCAGCTGTTCCGGTGTAGGGCCCCCATCGCCGCCGGCCGCATCCCGCTGCACGCGCTGCTCCAGGGCCTCCTCCAGTTCGCGCAGGTGGGCGACCGACGTGTCCAGCTGGCGGTTCAGCGCCTCCACGGCCTTGGGGACCGCCAGCCGCAGCGCCTCCACCACCTTCTTGCCCGCGTCCACTCCTCGCTGCAGCTGCTGCACCTCTGTGTCTTCTCTTTTCAGCCTCTTGCAGGGCGGGGCGCCACCGTTTTCAATCAATTGGATCGCTAGAATGTTGTCCGGTATGTCATCAGGCTCACCGGGCAGGTCCTGTATGAAAACATGAAGCACTAGTTGAGAAGATTTTGTTTGTTAGAGCATCCGATAAATCCGAAAAGAAGAGCGCTTGATTATGGGGAGGCAGCGGGCCGAAGTAAGATGCACTGGACCATAGACATTAATATTAAAATTTCTGTTCTTTCTAGCTTTACGGGAATGCTTTTTTAAAAATGATAGCAATAAAAATGTGCACTATTATTAGTATTATTATATCTTTGTCTTACTGTTAACCTGTGATTCCAACAGTTTAGTAAAACATCAGTCAGCTTTTCATTAAGGAGAATCTTGGTTTCAGATTGTCTTTTATCACATGTTTTAGTTTTTACACACGTCTACTGCCATCTCTGGTTACCTAAACTTGCTTTCTATGTACGAAAGTGTAAAATGCAACTATTCATATTATGTGAATAGTGGTGATTTATGTTGTGATATATCAGAAAAATGGTAAGGACCAGAGATACTCTACTAATTTAAAACACAATTTGATACCCTTGAAAAACAAAGAGTACGTCGGAATGTCTATATGCAAAATTGTGCCATAGAAGTGACTGCCCTCATGAGGGTGCACCTCACAGGACAGGTATGAACTTCCTCACCTTCCTGCATGTTGGGCATTTCCTCCCCAACTCTGGGTTCATTACACAATCCTTACAGATGGTGTGCCCACACGGCAAGCCTTTGGGTCGGTGGGACTCCACGTCAAAATGGTTAAAACAAATTTCACACTGGAGTTCCATCTAAAAAACCGAAAAGAAGAGAAGAGGGTCACAATCCATGTACCTTTGATTGACTAAACAAGACTTTATCTTACTCTAAATTCATCTCAACACCCAAGTAAACAAACATATATTCTTGACTTACATCAGAAAGGTTACGTCCTAGTACAATGATCAGAGCAGTGGGAAAACTCAGTAAAGTGAGCTTATTGTTCTGCTGCACTGCTATTGTTTAAAATACCAATAACTATTGATTACTTTGTCAACTTTGGTAAAACTAATGACGCAGCGGCTGCTTTTCCACAGGTGGCTGTTGCAACAAAGCGGTTGACAGGCAGTATAAACGGCACAAGAACAACAATAACACTGCACTGAGGGTTGTCGATGTAAGTGGTACCGCAGGGAAAGACACAAATTAAGAGTGAGAACTCGGGGTCAGGTTATTTTGTAAGCGAGACAAAACACACAACACAACACACCGGCTGCTCGTTGTCCGGCGTTCCGGCGGCGGAACAAGGCGGTGGGGGCGCGCGGGGAATACGAACATTAGCTTGCGGTTGGTTAACGGAGTGCTTTTTTTTAAAGGGGGGGGGGGTCCTGAGCGCTCAGGAACGTCATTTGTCCTATACTTTAGCACAGCATTAAAATGCGGCGAGTCTCATGACCCCCTAAACTAAACTCAAGCGTACTCACCACAACGCCCCCCCCCCCTTCCCCCCAGCGCATCGTCATCATCTGCCATCAGCTGATTCAACTCCCACAACCCTTTCCACAACAAACACACGACCCGAGTGAAGCCAACAAAAAGTCGGCTAGGGGCCGTACCGGTGACGGCAGGTACGATTTCATCTTCACAAACTGTCTCCGCTGTCAATATTTTCGGCGAGGTTGTGTGTTATGAGCTGAACGGAGTTGACCCGAGCGAGCCGTACGGAGGTTAGGACGCCCCCCAAGATAGCCCTCGCTCGATAAACAAGTGAGTAGATGACCGCTTGCGCTTGCAGGTTTTGTGGCGCAGTGTGCTCGCGCCCGTTAAGAAAGCATTCCGGTAAAGCTCAAATGCAAGAATGCGAGGAAAAAGAAAACGGAAATCGTTAGGATGCTTTTACATGGTGACCCCCCGTTTTCTTGTTCCCTCCATTCTGCATTTCAGCTTTACCGGAACGTTTCCTGACCTTTCTTGTTTAGTAGCGAGATTGCCAGAGGCACGTGAGCAGCCGACGCCAGCTTAAGCTCTGCAGTTACTGGCTCCCACAAGGCGCCACAACGACTCCGCTGAGCTCACTAGCCTGGCCATGGAGTGCGACATCTGCGTCGACCTCTTCGACGACGCCGAGCTCCTGCCCAAGGTCCTGCCGTGCGGGCACACGGTCTGCTTGCAGTGCCTGCGGCGGCTGCCCGACAGGAGCTGCCCGACGTGCCGCCGGGTGAGTTGCGAGGGGTGTCCCTGCGTCCTCCGTATACCCGCATCTCCCAGCACTTCACTCATCTGATCCCGCCTTCCCCAGGACTTCGTCGGATCGTCGGAGGAACTCCCTACTAACTTCACAGTGCTGCAGGCGCTTCAGCAAGGCAAGCAGGACAGGTAGGAGCTCCCACAAGCACACCCGACTCCAGGTGGAGTGTACCTTCCCGAGGCTCGTGACTTGACTTGCGCCCCTTGCGCTCCCCAGTGCTTCCGCCGCCTGTTGCTCGAAGTGCCGCGCCGCCGCTACGCCCTGCTGCTGGGACGAGCACGACGTCCTGCCCGCCAGGAGAGCCTTGAGGCGACAGCTGCAGGGAGCGCTGCAGCAGGCCGCCGAGCAGCTCCAGGGCCTCCAGGACCGGTGCCAGGACGAGCAGGCCCTGCCCGCCCTCACCCTGCTGACCGGCGAGTCCTGGCACGTGACCGTGCGGGGCGGGGACCGCGAGCTGACTGGGACCCTGCGGAATTCGGAGGACTCCCTGATCAAGGCCCTGTGGCTCGTACTGGCGGCGAGGGCCGCGCTCACCGAGGTAGGCCACACGATGTTCTGCACTATTGTACAACGCACTAGCCCGCAAAATTATTTACTTCGCCTGTTTTGGAGTCTCTAAAGCAGCTGAACTTTGATAAACATTGGCCAAAGTTCACGAACGTTGATAACGTCCACGAACTTGAATGTGGTCCTGCCTATCAGATCACATGAACAACAGAAATGGACTTCAACCGAACGTTTTGAATTTGACTTTAAAGCATACATTTTTGGAGCACATTCCCTATTAAAATCCTCTCCTTGTTGAAACATTACATATGTTCATGGGGTCATGCATGAGTGTGGCTACCCGGCTACTCGCTAAGAAATCTTTAAACTGGGCTTTTCCCGATTGTTTTTAAAAATTCCCTTTTCCAAATTTTGAAAGTTCCTGCTGCTGCGGGCGCAAAGAACCAATTGGCTGGGCGTAGTAGAGGGTGCGTATTGTCGAAGCGCCGGACGGGGACCGGACGGGGACCGGACGGGCCGAACGCCGGGCTGCGCCACTACGCGAAACAAGGGGAGGGGCGCGGCGAGTCGCTTAGCAACAATGCCAAATATATCTGTAATACTATTACCAATGGGCGAAGCTGAAAGGAAACGAAAAGTGAACAACCGGCTCCCCTCGCGCTACAGCACTGACACTAATGATTCCTTGCAAAGGATCCGCCTGCTTTGTAAGCCTACAAAGACATTTCTTTGCAATTCTTTGCATTACAAAGAAAATCGTTTGCAATTGGTTAGCAAAATTAGAAAGCCAGCCACAATCGTTCGCAAGGAATGTATCGGGTGATTCAGAGCAGCCGCAGGTGCAGGCGGCTTTGCCTAACTAAGGGATCATCCACAAAGTACGTCTCTTCCAAAACTGACAAGTTCATCCTGTGCTAGCTCTCGGAGCGCCTGGTGGGTAGGCAACTTCTCGTATGGATTGCATGTGTGTTCTGCGGGCTGTCCTACCTTGAGCCTCGCAGGCGCTCATTTCCCTTTTTCGCTGAACGAATCTTAAAAAAATCGGGCGTACTTTCTGGATGGTCCCTAAAGGGCCATGGTACCTTACGGGTAGGGCGAGTAGGCAAACCCACCCGCACCTGCGTCTTCTGTGAGTCACCCGGTACAGTGAAGCAAATGATACAAATAATATATTATGTTTATATTTAATATTATGTATCATCTGCTCAAAATAATAAATATCTCCAGCTCCGAAACGGTTAAATATACAGTATCCGATGGAAGGTTTCGATTCAGAATGTTTTGTTGTCGGTGGGACTTCCTTCATCATTTTCGGTTTGATTTCTTCTTGTACGTTTCTAAGCACAACGTGGTCCCGGCTCATGGTCCCGGCTTATTTTAGTAGAAGTACGCCAACTCTATGACACTCTAAGAACTATTTTTCAGAGAACCGTGCACTGCAAATCCTGGAGTGAGATTTCTGACCTAAAAAGAGCGAGAGTTTTTCTCCTTTGCTCAATTAAAGTGATGATTTAGAAACCTCGCTCTTATTGAGAATGATTCTTAAATCTCACTCAGATCAAGAGAGATTAACTTCAGAAATCTTCACTCAAAAAGAGCGAGGTTTTCCAATTATCACCCTGATAGAGCGACATTTCTTAATCTATTGCTCTAATCGAGCGAGGAAATCAAACCTCGCTCTGAGCAGGGCGAGAAAATTTGGTGCAAATTCTCGCCCTCCAGAGGGTGAGAATCTTCGCTCTAGGCTTTCTATTGCGGGCCTCGTTCTAATCATATGTTAAAGTCCGTTATTGGGGAATGTCGACATTAACCGGTTAGAGTCGACTTTACCCGGTTAGAGTGCTTTAACCAAGGTGCCCGGTTAGAGTCCTCCCGGGGCCATCCGAGGGGGGCATTAACCGGGTAAAGTGGTTCAGGTGGACTTTATCCGGGCATCTTGGTTTGGTTAAAGCACACTAACCGGATAAAGTCGACTCTAACCGGTTAATGTCGACATTACCCGAGTAACGGACTTTAACCGTAACACACACATGTTGCGCAGAGCCGAGCTGGAGCTGAGGAACCACCTGCAGCTGCGCCATTGCCACCTGCAGCTGCGCCATTGCCACCTGCAGCTGCACCATTGCCACCTGCAGCCGGAGGACATCCCGGACCTGACGATGCGCAGCCCCCGCGGGAGATGGATTTGTACCAGATCAGTATAAGTGGACCCGATGCCCAGCAGCAGGAGAAGGCCGCCGCCCTGCGGGACGCACCAGGGGTAAGTGTTGGCCGCGCCTAGCGCAACCTCACGCGCCGCACCTTTCTGAGCGGAGCGGCCGTCATGGCTGCGGACGGGAGGCGCTCGGACGGCCATCAAGTCCGCCGCCTTCCAGGCCGCTTGCCTCGGGTCCGGCCGCCCTGAGAATGACTATGTTCTGCCGCAGGTGACGCGGCTGGTCCACGTGTACTGCGACAAGGACCCGTCCTGGAACCTCCAGCTGCTGCAGCGCGCTGCGCCCAGTGTGGAGGAGCTGAAACTGATCTACCCCCGCGAGGCCCACCTGCTCGCGGTGCACGCCATGCCGCGGCTGAGGAGGCTGAACGTGTTTTCTGCTGACGCGCTGGACGCGCAGCCCCCCGTGCTGCCCGCGCTCCCTCCTGGGACCGCGGCCTGCAGGTGGCTCAAGGTGTTGGGCCTTCCACGCGCCACGACGCAGTCCCTGATGCGGGCGCACAGCCACTCGCTGGTGGAGCTGCAGCTGACGGTGGGCTCGCCGGGGGACAAGGAGTGGCCTAAGGGCTGCGGGGACCTGCACTCGCTGCTGGAGCAGTGCGGCCTGCGGGCGCTGAGGAGGCTCGTGCTGCGGAGGGTGTTGTGCACGCACAGGGCGGCCCAGTGCGACCAGCAGCGCGCCCAGGTGCGGCGGGTGCTGCCCGGGGCCGAGGTACTGTGGTGAGCAGAGCAGAGCAGAGCGAGGTGAGCAGACAGCAGTGTCGCGGGTGCGCAGAGTGTTCGAGTTCAAGAGGGACTGCGGGAGAGTGTGTTAGGCGCGGCCCTGTGAGCAAGATCAGAGTCGCGCATCGAGTTGAAGATAAATAGATATCTCTCACCCCCATCTAAATTAACGCAAAAGTATGATAGATCACAAAAATGCTCGATATTTTCGAACCCTCTTGACTTGTCAAACAACTTTGTCAGGTGCCCATTATTCTTTATGTATTTATTGTATAATAATAACTGATAGCGTGAAGCTCACAAAGAAGTTGGTGATTGTAAGTTACCACATGGGGTTTGCAATCAATGTCCAGTTCGTAAAATCACCACAAACCCTTATATGGTATGTATCTATCTTATCTTCAATGTAGTTTGTAATTACTGCTCTTTTACATCTTAAAGGCTAGAAACAAATTGTAAATAAAAATATTTGTACTAATTATCAAACATGTTACTCTTGCCATGCATATATGCAAGATAGTTTTAACTTCTATTTTGATTTATGATGCTCATTTCATTAGTAAATGCTTTGTTTCCTCGTGCTTTCATGTGTGTCTGTTAATTGGTTATACTTAATATTTATTTATTCTGTATGTCCCCTGTCTTTGTAATGTTATCTGTATTTTTCTTTGTTGACAAAGTAAGATTGTGTGCACTTTGTGTCAATTTGGTTTTGTAATTTTTTTGTTGTGGTATTGATGTCTCCAATTGTTGTTTTTAGACTTGTGTGCTTTCCTTGAAAATGTTTGACTAGTGCTTTGCGAGAAAGAAATACATAAACCACTAAACTATTGTAATCGCCATAACTTATTGAACCGCTTTAAACGACTGGTGACATTCCCACTTTAAATTTAATATTTAACTTAATTTTATCACATTGCGACTGGAAATATTACTTTGACCTAATGGCCTGTAAATTGTGAGGTCGTATTTAATTTTGATAGCGCTGCCTGCGTTATTAGTCCTTCTATTGTAATATTTTTAACGAATTGGGAGGGTGAAGGGCTGGCGGGCAGGAGTGTAGCCCCTGCGGACAGGCAGATACTGGCCCGTAAGGCTTGTGCGCGCAGCGGGGCGGCCTACCCTGCAGGCGCTGAGACCGGGAGGGACCCCGTTGCGAAGCGTAGCACATGCGGCTGCTCGTGAACCACGCTGCCAGTGAGTCTGGTCAGAACTTATGGAAACTGTGTGGTGGTTTCTCTACCAAATCTGTGACAATACTGTTACACAGGGAAAACAAAAGTAGGGCTTAATGCCTTTTCAAGGGTGTGAAATTTTGCACAGTTGGATAGTTTTCATTCCTTGGCAAAGACATGAAAATTCTGTTAGCCCAGTGGCTATACCTACCAAGGCACCCGGTTAAAATCCTCCGGGGAAATCCTCCGGGGACATTAACCGGGTAAAGTGGTTCAAGCGGACTTTATCCGAGGGCCGGCGGTTAAGTTGGTAATGTCGAAAGCGGGAGAGAGAGGAGTTGGCTGCAATTGGGGAAGGGTATAAGGTACTATTCTTGGGGTGGTCCTAGGCAACAAGGGAAAGTCGAAGGTCGAGTCGGTCAGGATGGAGGCGCTTGGCCGTGAGATATTCGACGGAAAGCTTGAAGAAAACTTTGAGTCACAAACGAGAGAAACCCCTCTTTCCTTCATCATTTTCGGTTTGATTTCTTCTTGTACGTTTCTAAGCACAACGTGGTCCCGGCTCATGGTCCCGGCTTATTTTAGTAGAAGTACGCCAACTCTATGACACTCTAAGAACTATTTTTCAGAGAACCGTGCACTGCAAATCCTGGAGTGAGATTTCTGACCTAAAAAGAGCGAGAGTTTTTCTCCTTTGCTCAATTAAAGTGATGATTTAGAAACCTCGCTCTTATTGAGAATGATTCTTAAATCTCACTCAGATCAAGAGAGATTAACTTCAGAAATCTTCACTCAAAAAGAGCGAGGTTTTCCAATTATCACCCTGATAGAGCGACATTTCTTAATCTATTGCTCTAATCGAGCGAGGAAATCAAACCTCGCTCTGAGCAGGGCGAGAAAATTTGGTGCAAATTCTCGCCCTCCAGAGGGTGAGAATCTTCGCTCTAGGCTTTCTATTGCGGGCCTCGTTCTAATCATATGTTAAAGTCCGTTATTGGGGAATGTCGACATTAACCGGTTAGAGTCGACTTTACCCGGTTAGAGTGCTTTAACCAAGGTGCCCGGTTAGAGTCCTCCCGGGGCCATCCGAGGGGGGCATTAACCGGGTAAAGTGGTTCAGGTGGACTTTATCCGGGCATCTTGGTTTGGTTAAAGCACACTAACCGGATAAAGTCGACTCTAACCGGTTAATGTCGACATTACCCGAGTAACGGACTTTAACCGTAACACACACATGTTGCGCAGAGCCGAGCTGGAGCTGAGGAACCACCTGCAGCTGCGCCATTGCCACCTGCAGCTGCGCCATTGCCACCTGCAGCTGCACCATTGCCACCTGCAGCCGGAGGACATCCCGGACCTGACGATGCGCAGCCCCCGCGGGAGATGGATTTGTACCAGATCAGTATAAGTGGACCCGATGCCCAGCAACAGGAGAAGGCCGCCGCCCTGCGGGACGCACCAGGGGTAAGTGTTGGCCGCGCCTAGCGCAACCTCACGCGCCGCACCTTTCTGAGCGGAGCGGCCGTCATGGCTGCGGACGGGAGGCGCTCGGACGGCCATCAAGTCCGCCGCCTTCCAGGCCGCTTGCCTCGGGTCCGGCCGCCCTGAGAATGACTATGTTCTGCCGCAGGTGACGCGGCTGGTCCACGTGTACTGCGACAAGGACCCGTCCTGGAACCTCCAGCTGCTGCAGCGCGCTGCGCCCAGTGTGGAGGAGCTGAAACTGATCTACCCCCGCGAGGCCCACCTGCTCGCGGTGCACGCCATGCCGCGGCTGAGGAGGCTGAACGTGTTTTCTGCTGACGCGCTGGACGCGCAGCCCCCCGTGCTGCCCGCGCTCCCTCCTGGGACCGCGGCCTGCAGGTGGCTCAAGGTGTTGGGCCTTCCACGCGCCACGACGCAGTCCCTGATGCGGGCGCACAGCCACTCGCTGGTGGAGCTGCAGCTGACGGTGGGCTCGCCGGGGGACAAGGAGTGGCCTAAGGGCTGCGGGGACCTGCACTCGCTGCTGGAGCAGTGCGGCCTGCGGGCGCTGAGGAGGCTCGTGCTGCGGAGGGTGTTGTGCACGCACAGGGCGGCCCAGTGCGACCAGCAGCGCGCCCAGGTGCGGCGGGTGCTGCCCGGGGCCGAGGTACTGTGGTGAGCAGAGCAGAGCAGAGCGAGGTGAGCAGACAGCAGTGTCGCGGGTGCGCAGAGTGTTCGAGTTCAAGAGGGACTGCGGGAGAGTGTGTTAGGCGCGGCCCTGTGAGCAAGATCAGAGTCGCGCATCGAGTTGAAGATAAATAGATATCTCTCACCCCCATCTAAATTAACGCAAAAGTATGATAGATCACAAAAATGCTCGATATTTTCGAACCCTCTTGACTTGTCAAACAACTTTGTCAGGTGCCCATTATTCTTTATGTATTTATTGTATAATAATAACTGATAGCGTGAAGCTCACAAAGAAGTTGGTGATTGTAAGTTACCACATGGGGTTTGCAATCAATGTCCAGTTCGTAAAATCACCACAAACCCTTATATGGTATGTATCTATCTTATCTTCAATGTAGTTTGTAATTACTGCTCTTTTACATCTTAAAGGCTAGAAACAAATTGTAAATAAAAATATTTG